TCTGTGTGTTTAGGCACTGTAATCCCCCCCAAGAGTACATTCTGTAATAATTTAGAGGTTAAAGCAGTAACAGAAAATAAAGGTAAGTGCTATTTGATGCTTCTGAATCAGGATCATTCTACCATTCCTGCTCTTTGGATCTATATTGTAGACCCTGAGTTTAGCTTTATTGAGGATATTTCTTTTTGGCCTTTGAGACTTCCAATAAGAAATTTTTTTTTTTTTTTTTTTTTCCATTTAATTGAAGCCACCAGAAGGGAGCAGAGTTTATTATCTGAAATTATGTCTCGCACTTCTTGGAACCTGTACCTACCTGTGCCTGCGCTCTCATACTCCCCTCCCATCTGTCCATTTCTCCATCCACATGTGTGTCCATATAGCTGTTGGTATTGGGGTATCTGTCCTTGCAAAAATCGAGGGGATCGTCCAGAAATCTGAGCACACAAACATCACGAGACTGGAAAGTCCTGTGTCAAAAAGCTTTGGAGTTGACTCAGGACCTATTTCAAATTTTAGAAGAGATTTTTACTAAAAGTGCCAAAAAGAGGTGCTTTCTCTCCCCTTTCTCTCCCCCTTTCTCATAGCAGTTTGTGGGAGATGCCTTACGCATCCCAGAAGGTAGATTTTACCTTAACAGCTTTGTTGTACTATTCCGTCAGTACTTTCTGAAATTACATTGCATTGTCACATCATGGCCATCTTAGTTGGGGTAAGCACCCTCTCAGGATGTAGCCCATCATTAAGTAGCTGTGACTAGTAATACTGGTAGCTATTTTATCAGCATTCTGCAAATAATTTTTCCATCATATGGTTTGTTTATGATATGTTTGCCATTGAGAAAGTTATTTTTTAAAAAAGACTTAAAATTTTTTTCATCTTTCATTGCATTCTTGCTCAAGAATATATTCATTTTTAGTGCTCTAATGAATTGAAAATTGCTTCAATTTCTAATTTATTGAGATAGATTTTCTTAAGGTCTAGCCTGACATTCAGTCTTTTAGTTAAATTCTTGTCTTGTCTGTTTCTTGTCCAACATCAAGTGTTCCCTTTCTTCCCATTTGATTTTTGTACAAAGTTTTGATCTCATTCTACACATAATGGTTATTGTGGCTTTAGAATGTAGGTGAGCTTTTTCATTTAACAAAATCTTTATCATTGATTTGTACCCTAGAGTTTCTTGAATGTTCTGGAATCTTCTCCCCAGATTCTCAAAATACACTCCATGGACATGAGAGGTTGTGCCTTTACCCCTGCAAGATTGGACCACTCTGTGACCCGGGGCCTCCTGCCTTCCATCCTAATTGGAGAGAATTCTCTCTGCTTGGTCATACCCCTCAGGATGGCTTCTCATGATAATCCAGAGTGACTTGGATAGTCAGTTTGAATGTCATCCCCTTCCATCTAGGTGTTTATCGTCTACACCGGGCACTCGGCAAGAAAGGAATTTATTCATTGTAGCATTAAGAGCGAAGATAGAAGAGACACGGATTACCCGTTCTTGAGCTTGTCATCCTGGGTCACAAGTAAACAGTTCTGGGGAGTTGTCTTCTCTTTGAGGATATGAATTTAGTATGAATGTCTCTTCCTGCCTGAGTTCCAGCTCCTTAAGCCCCTTGTTAGAGAGGACTCTGGAGGTAGGAGGGTGGAGTCCACGGGCAGTATCTGGACAAGGAATTGCCGATCTATCGCCAGATCCAGGCCACCAGAATGCACCTTTCGAGCCGTGCATCCAGCAGAATGGACCAGCCCTTCATAGGTCAGTTCCTCTGTGGCTATTTCAAAAATCAGGGCTCATCACTGATCCTGTGTTTCTGCTGAGTTGCATTTAGAGAAGTGCAGGATCCAATAACCATGTGCTTAGCTGCTTGATCTTGCTACAGAAGGCAAGTCTAATAAATCACAGTGTATTTTTGGCTAGGTCTTGCTGACCACAACAAACTTATCTTTATTAAACTAAAATGCACTCACTATTTGTATTCTAAACATATCCATTATGAATTTTACCCTTCATTTTTACCAGCTGGAGAGAAACAGCACCATGTTCTTTTTGGAAAATGTCCAGTCATGGTTGAGTGCATATTTCAGTTGTCCCTCTTGTCTGAAGGTTAGATAACCTCCAACAACCTCAAGACACCTTGATTTCAGTCCCTAATGTTGTAGTAATATTTTCTTTTCAAATATATTCTGTATGTTTTGCATTAAGTTCATTTTTGCATGTAGTTTTCCAACTTGTTAGGAATGTTTTATTTATATGTATAAATTTATACGTATAAATAGTTGTCCATCTTTTTTGGGGGGATGCCTTTATACATAAGCACATGAGTAAGGAGATCACTTCAGAAACTTTAAAAATTCATGTTGTTTGTGGCTCCTTCCCCCGTTCATTCTAGTAAGTCTGGGAGTGGGGACAAGGGGAGTTGCCCTGGGTCCATGGGTGACTCATCAGAAGTTTCTTGCTCTCTCTTCTTGTTGAGACTCTTGACCAACAGTTGCTGACACCAGCAAGCAATAGTAGAGACTTGGATGGCAGTGACCCATGTAAAGGGTGTGTGCTGGAAGGGGTCAGCTCAGCAGGCGTGGGGTGTTCAAATCCCGCACATTCCAGCAAGCCAGGCCCTTGACGACCTTCTGGGAGGTGACTTTCTAACCTTTGGAAAATGCCGCCTGATAAGAATGTGATAATGTATACCTGTGCCCTCAAGCGATGCTGATAGTTGATATTAACATTGTGAATTAGGCTGGGGGCTTCCGGTCACAGCACATCACCTGGACCCCCGGAGGGGCTTAAGATAGGAAGGAAGGTCTACCAGATAGGTGCCCCATGTGCTACTGACCAGTCCTGCGTCAATGCCATGGGCACTGAAGCTCAGGTGAGCTTTGCTGGTGGGCAGTGCTTTGCTCCTGTCATCACCCATCATTGCTATGAGGATTAAGAACCATGGAATTCCATGGGGAGGGGACAGTTGGAAACTCGGGCCTGGCTTCTGGATTTGGCCATATGCTCCTTTTGTCTTTGCTGATTTTAGTCCCTGTCCTTTCACCTTAATGAAGCATGATTGAGAATCTAAAAACTTTGCTGAGTTCTTCAAGTCCTTCTAGCGAATTGTTGAAACTGAGAGTATCCTTGAGTGCCTCCAAGGTGGGATGAGAGGAGCTCTTTATTTCTTAAGCATTTACTTTAGAGAAAAGGATGAGTGATTGTTCTTCTAGTATGTTAAGTTGTTCCTTTCAAAAAATAAATTGGATGTTCAAGTTTATGAAACACAATTCTGGTCTTCCCCTGAAGGTCTTTACTCAGTTTTTTTCTTATGATAAAATACATGAACTGATGTAGGAATGTTAATTTTTTTTTCCTTTCTTGGTGGTGTTCATGCTTGGTTATGGTGTACTTTTTTTTTTTTTTAAACATGCTGCTGTTTTGATTAATTTCTAGTTGTTTTATTGTGAATGGTTAGTATTGTCTCTGTCATACACGGGCAACTATTTTAATTGCTATAATTTAAAAATTTATGCAGACTTTCTAAAAATAGGTTACGTCTTGGCGCCTTGAACAGAATGCTGTACCCAGCTGGACGTTGTCTTGACTCACGGCGTTGGTTTGGAAGATCACGGTGTCTCCTGGGACTTGGGTGCTCTCCTGAGGCGTGAGCGGCTCACGCTGGGTGCTCAGTGCTGCCCACACCGCCCTCCGCCTGGGGGTCTGCGGATGGCTTTCCTTTGGCTTTTCCTGTGTCTGCAGGGCCTATCTGGGCTCACTTGTTAATGGCTGTGGCTTAGAGGCTACCTAATGAAGCTTGTTACATGACGATTTCCAAAGCGAGAGTGAATTAGCTCTGAGTGTGAGCCTGGGGCGCTCTCCTCTGGATGAAAAGCCCATCTGTTTCATGTCGTGCGTTTTTAAATATCCGTTTAGGATTTTTAGAGAGATTTTTTTTTTTTCTCTCCCTTTTCAGTTGCTGGCTCTTCCAGAGAATGAATTCCTGAGAGTGGGTGGGTTGGTTGGTTGGTTTATGTTCTCCTTCATTCAGTGCTTATTGGTTGAGCATCTAGGTGGTGCTGTATATTGGATAACTGGACCTCAGTGGATAAGACCTAGCGTATGAACCAGGCTGTGCCTGGCAGATAACACGGGAGAGCAGTTTTGCTTTGGCCTACACACGTGCTGTATTTTTATTGTCTGGAAAACAAGTGCTGGGAGCAGGAGAGAGAAAATGGGGGAACTTGCACATGGAATCCTCCGGTCTTTTGCCTAGGTCCTTTGCAGCCCAGGTCTGTGTCCCTGATGTGTTGCTGTGCAGTACCATAGCCATCGGTACAACCGTATGCTGAGTCCCATGATCCTTCAGTGAATCTCTGAATGTGGGGGTGGTCTTACCACCAAGCCTGCTTCTTGTTGATTGGTATTTTTAAAAAATATTCATTTTTTTTTTGAAAGGCAGAAGGACAGACGTGCTGGCTTACTCCCCAGATGTCTGCCACATTTGGGGCAGGGCCGTGCCAAAGCAGAAGCCCGGAAACCAGTCCAGGCTTTGCATGTGGGCGGCAAGGACCCAAAGCACTTGAGGCATCACTCGCTGCCTCCCTGGGTGCACAGTAACAGGAAGCTGGGTTCAGACACTGGAATCCAGGCACTCTGATGTGGGGTGTGGGCGTCCCCAGTGGTGTCTTGAACAGCGTGCCAAACACTGGCCCTTGTTTGTGGATCTTTTGTTGTAATGCTGAGCGCAATACCCAGCTGAAAACTGCTGCATCGAGATTGCTACTTTCAACTTCCGGAGAGCAACGTTCTGTAAGTTAATACTGTCACCCTTGGCCAGGAAAGCTGTTGGACACTTCTCGGGGGCTAGTAGGCTGGGCAGGCCCTATAGCTTAGGAGTTGGCGTCAGTATCTGTTTTTCCCCAGATGTTTACACCTGTGGCACATTGCTTTGCTTGGCTCAGAGGAGCCCTTAAGCGAGCCAGACGACTGCGCCTTTCCCAGTCATCTCCTGTCGTTTCAGATACGAGCACATTCTCACAGAGCCCGACCCAGTGCCCGCGTACGCTCTGAAACTGCTGGTCGCAATGACTGAACACAGCCCAGCGTTGACCAGGTACGGTGCGCTCAAATCTCTGTCTTGTTTCTCGTCTCTGAAGTTAATTGCTTGTCTCCTGAAAACGTTGTTAAGAGATGATGAGGTTCCAAAAGACCAATACTTGAGCTGCCAGAGCGGTGATTCTTTATGTTTCACGGCTTGGAATATGTCATTTACGCTGTTTGGCTTTTGTCCTCATATTTTATCCCTCATTGGAGTTTCCATCCAGTGAAAAACTGATGCTTTAAAATGATGGATTCCTTAAAAAAAAAAAAACCGTTAATACATATGTTTTCAAAAATGTCAGTTGGAGCTTCATTTTGTACTGAACAGTTGGCTAAGTCTCAGTGGTACTTACTAATGATGATTACTCATATCAGGTTGACATACTTGTTTCAATTAATGGAGACCTTTTTTTACCTTTCTTGAAGAAACTGACGTGATTGTATTAGATTGTATTAGGCCTTTACAGGGATACACGGCGGAGGTTAGGTAAATACCTGCGATAAGTTACTTAGAAGAAGTTTATTTTGGCTTACTGTGGTGGAGGTTCGGAGTCTGGGGGGTGACGAAGGCGGTGGGTGGTGGAATGCAGGGAGAGGGAGAATCACAGGGTGAGCAGGAAGCAGCGAGAGTGAGAGACAGACGGCAGACAGGGAACGCGCTTGTCCTCTGCCGGTGGTTGGTTTTTATTTTGTTTTACTAAGACCATTGGCACTGTATCACAGGGAGCTTCACCCCTGCGGTCCCCTCTGCTCACTTCCTGAGGCCCAGCTTCAGACACCATAATTGGGTTGTTTCATCCTTGTTCCTTTATCTTAGGACTCAAGGGTTGAGGGTTTTAACACGTGGACGACTGGGGGACACCTCACCCATCACCAAGCCGGAACTCTGAGGATGACAGATTGCTCAGCACTGAGTGCTGGGGGGCTTCGAGTCCTGCCATGAACGCTGAGTCTGAGGAAATGGCCAGGTCCACAGAGGCCAGGAGAGGAGGAGGTCTTCCTTGCTTTGAAACAAGACGACAGGTTTTCTTAGGCAGGCCAGGGCAGCGGGCCTTTGGGGGTTTGAATACCTTCAGAGTTGCTGGCCAGTCTTTTACGAAGAACGAGGGCACAGGGCCCCACCCAGCTGGACTTCGTCTGGTCTGCTGTCCCATCACAGAAGGCAGTGCTTTGTTAGGAGTGGCTGTCACCATTGGTACCAGTTCCCCCGGCAGTGTGCAGGGCTCATGGATGTACCTGGCTGAGTGACCGGAGCCAGGGTGCTCTGTGCTTGGACTCCCACAGGGCTGGGGCTGTGGTAGCTTTCTCCAGAGGGTGCCATGCAAATGTCATCCTGTATTCTCTGTGCTGTGTTCCAGAAGCATTTGGGGAGCCCTGCATTGGAATCCTTTTCACCCCTATTGTCGCTCCCCGTCTTCGTGGAGGAACGACACAGGACCCTGCACTGTTCTTTCGTCTGCTCGGCCCTCCCCGGGTTTGCTGCTGGTTCTTCCCGGGTTGGCTACCGTCCCTTCCACCTCCGTGGAAGGGCGGTTCCCCCTGGCCACATTCCCCACTTCCGCGGGGGAGCGGCACACCGCCGGCCGGCTCTCTCGGGGGCTGCACAGGTGTTCCTTCTGATAGATGTTCCTGGTGCATGTTGTCTCTCTCCTCCTTTATAGTCCTCCTCCACCAATCCTAACTCGGCTGCCCACACGCCAAGTACGCTGCTCTCCTCCAATCAGGAGCAAGTCCTACAGTTTATTGGCTGAACTGGAGGCAGCTGTGTAGAAGCTGTTTTCTTCTCTCCCAGCGCCATATTGTGGGAGAGCAGATGCATAGAATAAGTCTTAATTCCAGTAACTTAGTCTAGTCCGAGTTGCTCCCCACACCTATCAATCTGAAGCTCTCTGTGTCTGTAGCCTTTTGGAGAGCCTGACCCGTAAGCCTTCGAAATTCATGACTCACAGGGCATCAGACTCTCTTCCTAAAGAAGAAATTGAATTACAGACAGTGAAACTATGGAAGTTGGATAGAAGTGTAGATAGTTCTTTGCTTCCTGGGCTTGAGACGTCAAGTACAAATGCTGTCTACTGCTTTTATCCTTCATCAGCGGAACAGAAGGCATTTACTTTCATTCATGTGGCCTTAGTCGCCTCAGACTCTTGTCCCTTCTTGTCTGCTCTCTGTTAAATTCAGTTCGGTTTCTTCACGTGGAGGGGAGGAGAAGCTAGGAAAGTAGAAATAGATCATTGATGATGTCTACAGAAGCTAAAATGGTTAGTGACTAGGTGAATAGTGAATTTACTCGAGTTTTTGTTTTTTAGATTTATAAGAATTCACCTGATGATTTTTTATGACTTTTTTGTTTTAGTTTAAATAAGCAGTATTCGAATAGATTGTCTTTATCTTAAATCTTGGCACTAAAACCAAGAGATCGCCTTTGCTTCCCTATGTCCCAACCCCAATGCCTCACAGCTGTCTCCCCAATGGATAATTTGTCCTTTTGTGTGTATCCTAACTGAACTTTTCCTGGCCACTTAAATTCAACATATATGAGTATACTGAATTAGATAGCTTTGCTTTGTGGTGGTTGGCTTTCCTGTTTTTAAAGATTTATTTAATTTATTTGAAAGGTGGAGTTAGCAGGGGAGAGAAAGAGAGAAAGAGATCCTGCATCTGCCGGTTTGCTAAATGGCTTTAACAGCCAGAGCAGGGCCCGGCCAAGGCCAGGAGCTTCCTCTGGTCTCCTGCATGAGTCCAGGGGCCTGAGCACTTGGGCCATCCTCTACTGCTTTCCCAGGTGCATTAGCAGGGAGCTGGGTGGGAAGAGGAACAACTGGAACTGGAACCCACGCCCATGTTGGATGCCTGTGTTCCAGGCAGAAGCTTAACCTGCGATGTCATAACGCTGGCGCCAGTGGCTGATCTTTAAAAAAAAAATCAGAGATAGTGTCATTAGTTTCATTCTGTACATGTTTTCCTGCTATTTTGCTTATCAAAATGGAGATCTTTTTATATCAGTATTTATTTGTATTCTTGCCAATACCTTTGCCAAACTAATAATGAAAACGGGTTCTCATTTTATTTTGTAGTCATTTAACTACTGATTGTATTGTGTATCTCATACTGTTTATTCACTCTGCTTAATTAACATGTGCAAGGTGCATAACCTTCAACTTGCAGTTCTCTAAGAATTTGTTTTAGGGAAAGCTCACATGTGCACTAAGATTTCCATTGAGATAAGTAATTTTCAAAATGAGAGGACTTTGTATAATTGACATGATTTAATATAAATAAAAGTTATACATATAATCATAATGTCAAATACTATGTGGCAGTTTAAAAGGGCATGATACATTTTGAATACCCATTTGTAAAGATGTCTAAATTGTTTGCTTAGCTGAAATTGCTTTTCATCCCTGTTTCCATCATCTCCTTACATGGAATCTTTCCCCAGATCTTGTTCTGCTTGCCTCTTCTCAAGAAACAAGATAATAAAGTAAGATTTCACTTATGTCAGTGTTAGCTTAAGCTCAGAAGGTCAAGAGCAAAGCATCATAGGTCAGTTACCACCCTCTCCCTTCCATGTTCCTCATCAGACACTTTTTTAAAAAATAGGTTTATTATTTATTCATTTATGTATTTATTTGAAAGTCAGAGTTACAGAGAGAGAGGGAGGGAGAGAGACAGAAGGAGATATTCCATCTGCTGATTGATTCCCCAAATGGCTGCAATGGCTGGAGCTGGACTGATCCAAAGCCAGGAGCCAGGAGCTTCCTCTGGGTCTTTCCACGTGGGGGCTTTCCCAGGCTCGTTACCAGGGAACTGGGTCAGAAGTGGAGCAGTCAGGACTCAAACTGGCACCCATATGGTATGCTGCATCCACAGGTGGCAGCTCAACCCGCTGTGCTACAGTGCCAGCACCTCCCCCCACCATACACTTTAAAGGGAGGTCTTATCAACTTCAGTATGACTTTGCAAAGTCCATTCACCCACTTGGTAGGAAAGGAAGGGAGAGAGAAAAGCCATAAATAATTAGGCTTTGGAGTTCTTATTTCCCTAAAGGGTTTTTTAAAATGAGTTTTGAGTACAACATTTTAGCATGGGTAATACATTTTTACTGAGGGGAAAAAGAACAATATCAAGAGTTAGATAGTGATGAACCTTACTGCTTCCCTAGCCTACTCTGTTCTCTCTCCACCTTCGTGTCTTTCTGTGTGGCTAACTGCTTTTACTCATTTTATAACAAGATGCAGGCTGATGTGAATGTGTGTTTTGTATATCATTCTCCCTATTACATGCAAAGCACGTGACAGACTTTTTTTCCTGCCCTTTGAATTTTATCACTGATAGAAGGGTCTGTCTCCAGGATTCGCTTCTATCTCAGTACCCATGGAGCTTTCACATTGTGATTTGCAGTGCTAATATCTTCCACTATATGACCGCATTGTAATTTATCTAATGAGTGTCTCACGGCTGCACTTGTTTCTAATCTTGGGGTAGCGCAGGCAATGGATAGCCTCATGCGTGCAGCACAGTATGGGTATACATGTACATCTTATAGGATGACTCCTAGAAATGATACCCGTGTCTCCGAAGACAACTGCGTTGAATATTTTAAAAATAGGATCAAATTACCCCCTCTCTCCCAGAGGTTTGCCATTCTATACCTCCCAGGGACATGTGGAAGCATGTCTAGTCATCTGTAGTCTTGTCAAAATTGGCTATCAAGCTTGGGAATTTTGCCAGGGCGACAAGTGAGGTAGGTTATTTCATTTAATTTCCGTTTCTCTCATCACGATTGTGGTTGGATATGTGTGCACGCGGTCAGGGATGCTTTGTTCATCTTTTTCCCGGTCCTGTTCTTTATTCTCAGCTCTTTGGTCTCGGCAGCACCACTCTGTAGACCCAGTCAGCTGCCTGGTTTTCCGCTGTACAACCACACCGTGTCTACTAGTGCTCTTGGCTTTCAGCAGTGCCAGGGTTGTTGCAGGTTTTTTTGCTGTCACGAATAACATCACCTCAAATACT